TTAGCATCTCGAGTGATACTCTATCATATCCAGCTGCCTTACCTGCTTTCATGCTTTTCATTGCTTTCATTATTTCATCTACACTTATCTCCATTATGATGATGTATGACTTATTATGACTAGGTATCAGATTTATCATAATATGTATAGTAGTGTTGGCATCAGTATATAGCAAAGCTATGTAGCTTATCAACAATTAGTAAAATATTTATTTAAATAATAAAAAATTTTAACAAATGAAAAAAAAGAATATACCGTTATTTGTTGCTTGGCAGAGCCTCGATCGTTACAAAAACTTGTGCAGGTGTGATTGGATCTTAGAACCGCCCTTACGATTTAGATAAATTTTATATTTATTTTAAATAAGTTGTAATAAAAAATATGGAACATTTGTTTTTCTGGAGAGAGTAAACAATGTTAAAAATACGAAAATTGAAATAATATAATACGCATTCGGATTTCAGTAAACTGAAATGACAGTCATTGGGAGAGGCTTATGTTTTGCAGCGATCTGATGATGGATTATTATTACATAACAGCGATGATGAATTCTAATCTTGTTTTAATAAATATAAATTACATGACAAAGGGTCGTCGAAAAGAGCAGAACAACGTCTGCCTGGCAAGCTAGTAAAATACTATATTTAAAGTAAACCGTGGAGTGGTTGTGTTAGAATATCCACTACCCCATATCGTGCCGAGGGTATTGTAAGTGGCGACAGAGTGAAAATGAAGGAGATGGGCAGTAGCATATTCCTGATAAAAATACAAAATAATAAAAAACTGCGGTTGGCAATCGGCTTGCCAAGCGTGGCAACTATGGAAAAATCTCCCCATGAGTTCATCCATGAGGGAAGCCTATGTTCAGCAGAGGACCTTTATAGGCTGTAAGAAAAATAATTAAAAACTATAGCAGTGAATACCGCGGATTGAGCCTTGGGCACTTGGGAGCTAAGGGCCCACACTTTAAATTTACTCTAGCAACCCGAGTTAGGTTCCCACCAGTTACTTTGTTATTGTTGATCGTATTCAGTGAAAGAATAATAAAAAACATAATTGCGAAATTAAATACGTGGAATTTAATTATTATTATAGTTTATAGCGTATACATGTACGTAAATTTAATTTTATGTGATATATTTATCCATGATAAATAATTAAAACTGCATCGATTAGAGATACTGGTCACAATAATATTATGTGACCCAATTTTATAAATTATTATGCTCAAAAGCTACAATTCCTAAAAAATTTGATAATTTTTCGTAGAATAAAATGCATCATAGTTCACAAAGCTTCGAAGCGATAATAGGTTTTGACCGGTATGGCCCAACGATGTTACATATTTCACGCCGACCGTATCGATGTTTCGAAATCAAAGGTAAAAAATTCATCGACCACCAATTGTTACAGGCTCATGCTAATTTAAATGCAACTCCACACTTGTGCAATGATTTACCTGAAATCTTTCACAACCTGATCTTGATTGGCACTGTTTTGTGACATTTTTATCATTTAATTAATATGCAACACTGAAGAAGATTTTATGTGACTCGAGCACACACTTCACCTCATGGTAACTGGATGCCGTAGTTGATACCTACTAATCAAAATGCAGATACGTTGTTACCTCCTGAGAAATAGGAAGGAATGTTTTGCTTATTGGTTGTTTACTCTTTGTTTACTTGATGTACGTGGTGGAGAGCTGCTATACACTATATTATAGTTGTAGCACGAACCACGACAGGGATATGACCATGCTCTCACAGAATACCAGAGTAAAATAGCAGCTTAATGCTGCTGTGTTTCGTAAGGTGAGTGTAGAGAACCGGAAACCGTTTTACTGGATATCAACAGTTCTAGCAATTTATAATTACATTCAAAAAATACATAATATAATTAACGATAAAAAATATGCTATAGGAATCCTATTAGATATGTCAAAAGCATACGATACAGTGCAAAACATATTACTAAATAAATTATATGACATAGGAATCAGAGGCCCGTGCTACAATCTGCTAAAATCATATTTACACAATAGAATGCAAATAGTAGAAATTGAGTACTTTAAGACAAATTACACAAAATTGAAAAAATTAGATTCGATACTAAAACTATTAATGCCTCAATACCTCAAGGCAGTGTGCTGGGGTGTCTTATGTTTTTAATTTACATTAATGACTTTGCAGAGGCTCTCAAGGAATACTGTGTCATGTTTGCGGACGATATTTCTATTCTTATATCAAGCCAAAGTCCAATGAATGTAACTGTAAAAATTAACAATATATTATTAAGAACAACAGACTGGCTAACTAAACATAACCTGCGGATAAACTTATCGAAACCTAAAATAATGTCTTTTCACCCATATCAAAAACCAAAATTAGATATAAAAATAGATAATGACGGCTTCACTATGAATACAGTTAACGAGCACAACCTATTAGGCCTAATAATAGATACCCATATTACTTGGAAACCACACATAGAAAAATTACATAGGAAGTTAAGCAGCTTTATGTACGCGTTACGAGAAGTAAAAAAAAAACAAAAGATGTAACCACCGCGATAACAACCTACTACGCGTATGCATATGCATGGCTCAGCTACGGCATTGTCCTATGGGGATGCAACACTGAGGCCTCAAGTTTATTTACTAAACAAAAAAAAACTAATACGGATCATTGCTAATATACAAAACACAGAAAGCTGTAAGCCTTACTTTAAGAAGTATAACATTTTAAGTCTGCCCTGTATCTATATTTTGGAACTATGCAAATTTGTGAAAAAAAAAATCCAAGCTTGTACACAAAACGCGTTGACATCATATCTAGGAATCTAAGACAGAGAAACAAACTAGTGCTACCAACTTCAAAACTAAAACCTCATTCATCCAGCTCATTTGCCGTGTCTATAAAAGTATATAATAAATTACCCGAATATATAAAAAACATTAAGAACGAAAAACCATTTGAAAAAAAATTAAAGCAACTACTTATAAACAAGTGTTACTATAGTACTTCTGAATTTTTAGAAGATAAAAATATAATATAATATAGATATATTATATTATATTTTTATCTTCTATAAATATTAGGTAATAAGGAAATGCCATCCTACTAAATAAATTACAATAAAAAATTTATAATAAAATTTAAAATGATTAAAATAATTTAATAAAAATTCAATTGTGCTACCTATAATAATATATTAAATGTCAAAATCAATTAATAAATAATAACAATTATAATAGCCGTATTCCATATTCAATGTGTGTATGTTTATATAATATAATGAATGTTAATATTAACTAATTATTTAGCAATAATAATAATAAAACAAAATAAATGTTCCTCCTTCATAATATTGCTGTGACCATAAAACTATGTAACACCTTTTGTAACCTATGGAACGCAATAAAGTTATTGAGTATTGAGTATTGGATATGAGGCATTCCATCTTAGTCCTCAGGGATGACAACGTATCTTCATATTGAATCTTAATATAATTGAGGATAAATGTAGATGTGTATGGGCCACAGTATCTACTTACTATCAGATGAACTGTGTGCTCGTTTATCACTCTTATTCTATAAAAAAAATTGTTATATAAACGGTTCTCCCGTTCTGGTCACCCAAAATACGATATACTAGTACATCAGCATTTGGTGCTATTTCCTCGGTCGAACCAACCTATCCATACTGCAGTCATAATATGCAGCAGCGTGACTTAAGCACCAAAATACAAATACTCGAAATATGCAAAAAAAATTTAAAGGCAATGTCAAACATTAAAATGATCAAAAATTGGCTTTTATTAATTTAATAATATTTTGTTTTCATACGACTTTAAGTAGACTTCAAAAAAAGGAGTAGGTTATCAATTCGGCTGTATTTTTTTTTTTTTTTTTTTTATAGAATAGGGTGACAAACGAGCACACAGTCCACCTGATGGTAAGTGGTTGCTGCGGCCCATAGACATCTACATCTATCTTTTTTCATTACAAATCAAAATGCAGATGCGTTGTCACCCGCGAGGACTGAGATGGAATGCCTCATTTCCAGTAACAAGGGTCTCCGGTTCTCTACACTCACCATACGAAATACAGCAGCATTAAGCTACTATTTCACGCTGGTATTCTGTGAGAGCGTGGTCCTTCCCCGGTCGAGCCGACCCATTCGTGCTACAACTATACTACTAATATAACTGCAGCATGGCTCTACAACGTAAAAATGTATGCTAAGCAATGTCTTCGTCAATTGAGAACAACCGTTGATGATTTTCGTTATTAAATAGGGGTGTATATTTAAAAAAACCTTTTTACTACATAGGGGGAGTTGCTTATAAATTTGTGGAAAAAATTCCACACCTAAGGATTGTTAAAAAGGGATTGAGTTTCTAACGTAACTTTTTCAGTCGACATCTGACATTGAGATTGCGTAATTCCTTACTTAGTCCGGTCAAAAGGGCAAAAAATAACTTTTGATAAAAAGCTAACACCGTTTTCAAAGAACTAAAAAGTCACATTTTGAAATCCAGGCAACAAATAATATTTTTTGAATTTTTTTTAAATTTAATTACAAATTTAAAAACTAATTTTATTTACGTATAAAAATTGTTATTAAATCAATGGGATTTCAGAAGTTGATCTCGATAATTTTAAAATTAGTTTGTAGGTTCACATCAGCAATATTTTAGTTATATATTCAATCACTTTTTATTAATATTTATTTTAATTATTTAATACGCATACGCAGTATTTAAATTCCATTGCAATATGTTTAGTAAATCAAAACCAAGTTGCGATCATGATGCGATCGGGCGAACTTTATTTCTCTACTATGTGCGTAAATCATTATTGATTTATTTTTTACTTTCGGGCGAGAGTTACAATATGATGTATCTGCATATTTATATGTTATATTGTAATAATTTGCGGAATTATAAAATAAATTACTAGTTCTATACAGCGTACGGCCAGAAATATGCGTACTTACCTAAAATTGTAACTTAAAAACACATTCACCAGAAACGAACAATACAGAGTTCGTTGGGCTTTCAAGTTTCAAGTCACAGTTCACAAGCGGACAACCGTTCGTTCGTTTGCCGCGTATCGTTTGTTGGAGGCTCTAAGTTCGTGCTCGGCCAGTGTCGTTGTTGCACTGAGCGATTCGACTGAAGAGTTATGCGTGGTTTGCGCTCGCGCACGCTAACCTAAAATTACAACCAAAACCGCGGGCGTTCGCTGTACAGCGTAAATCGGAAAGATATCACTATGGATCTAACGCCCTACAGAATGAGTTGCACTGCGCAGTTTATTAAGGTTAAGGATAAGAGTGCGGTAATAGTAGCCATAGAAATAGTTTTTAATCGATTAGCTTCAGTCTGCGTAACTGGCGTAAAAGAGATTAATTTTAATTAGACCTTTGGTAAGCAACAATTGGAGCGTGTGAGTATCCTGTAGATGCTGCATAATTAACGTGTTTAATGCAAATTGAAAATATACTAACTACAGAGATGTAAGGAGAGATAAAAATTAATATCTACAGATTTGAACTCATTTTTTTTTTCAATTTCAATTTCATTTGGAGTGTTTGACTATCCTATAGATAGTACATTATTAATGCATGTTAAATAGATTCTTATTAATAAGTAATGTCCTTATTGAATTATATTCAGAATAATATATAAACACGATTTGGTGTCACCACTCAATTTATGATTTACGATTGGTACCTTTCAAAATATTAAAAGAATGGCTAGTATTGAGAACTTACATTAGTGTAACACTGAAGTAGAAATTTCAAACAATCAAAGCTTGTTTTTTCTTAATATTTTCGGTGATTCGATTATAACACATAAATTGACCATATTTTTTTTTTATAGAAGAAGGGGAAAACGAGCATGTGGCTCACCTGATGTTAAGTGATTACCGCCGCCCATGATCAACCGCAACACCAGGAGAATTGCGGGTGCGTTGCCGGCCCTTTAGAAAGGAGTAAGCTCTTTTCTTGAAGGTCCCCAGGTCGTATCGGTCCGGAAAAATCGCCGGAAATTTCTAATTACTTCAGTTTCCCACACAATATTTAATGAAAACTTTAACAATAATAGCAGTCCTAGAACTGTGTGTATCACTTGCAGTAAGTTCAGTTCACAATAAAATGAGCATTACACACAGTCTTGAGAAACAACACGTTACAATATATCACCATGCTAATTATACTATATTTATATTACATTCACCTATGACAGTTATAAAATATATTTGTAAACTTAATTTAAAAAATCTCGTTTCTAAAAATGTTTGCTTTTGATTAATAAAAGTAATTTCTACTACATAATAATATAAATCAATGTAAGTGTAAAAGTTAGTTAAGTAACTTAACCTTTTTTTAAAATTTTGAATAACCTACTGTGGTTTAGTAACACAGTTTAAAATTTAATCGTATTTATGATAGTCGCATTTTTGTGAGTACTGCCTTTAGGTTACAACTTTGTGGATGTATAGTGATGTGTTTGCAGCAGATACAAAGATTATTATGGCATGCAATGTGAATATTTCCGTATTAAATACTAACTTCAAGGAATACAGGTCCTTTGTAGACCTTATGTTCGTTCATTCAGGGTGAATGTCAACTATCACAACGTTAGAGGAAGTTTTATATAGTTCGAGATGAATAATGTATTTATGTGTCTATCAAGATTTATATTTACTTGTTCTTTAGAATGTATTTCCATTGAATACATAATCATTCACGATGCTGAATACTACTTAAATGAACTTTTTTTATAATGATTACATTTACCGATTACATAAAACATCAAAATAAAAAAATTGGAAGCTAATATAAGCAAATATTTTTCATAGAAATATAAATAGAATGAATTTATCCATAAGAAAAAATAAGAAATATTTTTATCAGTTATTTTGGCACAGCTTCCAATGTCTATGGCCCGTTGAATTCAGGTGACAGTGCCAAGTTTGAGATAAAGAGTCTTTTATAATAATTTGAAATACGAAATCTACAATCTTTATTCTTTTAATGCAAGACATCAGCTTTTATTATATTACCTGTTTATAGATGCCATCCTCGATTAAATGCATATGTTTTGTTACCCCTGAGGACTAAGATGGATTGTTTCGATTCCAGTATTAATTTGCTAGAAAATATTTGAATTCAGTGTATCTAATTTTATTTCAGTACAGTATATAAGCGATTGAATGCGGTCATTTTGCGAAATTGTGCGTGCGCATGTGTGTTTGTGTTTTGAATTGTTTGATTGAGCAAGTGGATGAGTTCGTGTACTTGATATGTGTATTTAGCAGGAACGGTAAATATAATAATGATATAGAACGGCGAGTGAATGCAATAAATAGAGTGAATGGGGTTCTACACTCTTTTATGAAAAATCAGAATGTGTCAAATAGGCACGTATGGTAATTCATAATGCCGTGTTAATCCCTACATTATTATTCGTAATAAAACTGTTGCAGAAAAAGAACAAAAGCAGAATAAATGCTGTAAAAATGCGGTCTTAAGGAAAATGCAAAGGATGAATCTGAATGACAGGGTGAGAAATTCTGTGATTAGAGAAAAATGTGATGTGCAAGATGATGCTGTAACAAGGATTAAGAAAGAAATGCTTCTATGGTTTGTTCAAGTAGAAAGAGTTAAGGAGTAAAGAGTGACAAAGCAAATTTTTATTGCAGATGTAAACGGCAGAGTCGGGAAGAGGCGCCCTAGACGAAAGTTTATAGATGAAATTGGCGATATATTGAAAATGGGTCAGATTAGGAGTACCCTTAACCGACGAGCGTGTACGTAGATCACTCAATAAGTTTTGAGATGCTCGCAATTTGAATCTGGAAGGCACCCGTGTAATATGTTTCTAAAAAGCAAAATTATTTAAAAAGAGAACTCCATAAGTCAATTGCTCAATATTAAAAAAAGAAACAAAGTTCTATTAGTTTTTCTGCAACGCTTCCCGCGCTTTTCATTTAAAATGATGGATCTTAACCGTGAACATATGCGCGCTATGATCTATTATAATTTTAAATTTGGTTTAACCGAATACTTAAGTTTACAACGGTTACAAGCAGCATTAGAGGACTCAGCTTTGTCAAGCGCAACAATTTTTAGGTAGTTTGCTGAATTCAAAAGAGGTAAAATTAACCTTAAAGATGACAAAAGAAGCGGGGACCCGCAAACAGCAGTAACGGCAGAAAATGTAAGGACTACTGTAATGTTGGTGCGAGAAGACCCACGAATCACATGTATGGATATCGAAAAGATTGTAGGCATTAGTTAGGGGAGCATTCATATCATCCTACGTCAACATCTTGGAGTCAGGAAGCTTTGTGGTCGATGGATCCCCCGTTTGCTCTCCGAAAGCGAAAAACAGATTGGTGCTATGTAAAGCGTCTACGTTTTGAAAACGGGGCATCAAGGCGTGGTTCAGAAATCGTTACTGGTGACGAGACATGAATCAATCAATATGATCCGGAAAATAAAAAGCAATCTTCGGTATAGATCTATTCAGAAGGACAGTTACCGACAAAACTTTAAAGACCTCGCAACGTCGGCAAAAAAATATTTGTCGACGTCAATGATGGAAAATTGTAGGTCAGTCAACTCTGAATGGTATACTACAGTTGCATTACCCAAAGCTTTTCAAGAAAGAAGACCAAAAACTGGGCTTCGGGGAATCATGCTGCATCACGATAACGCCTCTTCACATACCTCTCTTAGAAAAAAGCATTTAATGACGAATCTGGTGTTGAAACTCTAAGTCACTCACCCTACAGCCCTGACTTAGCTCCTTGTGATTTCTTTTTGTTACAAGAGTCAAAGAAAAAAACAAAAGGCAAGTTTGTTTCAAGCGCCGAAGAAGCTGTGGCTGCCTACGAAGAAGAGATATTCGACCTGTCAGATCAAGACTAGCAAAAGTGTTTCCAGAGTTGGTTTAGGCGAATGGAACTTTGTATAGAGCATGACGGAGAATATTTTGAAAAGATGTAAAATGAATGTTAATAGTATCTAGAATACATTTTGTATATCTCAAAAGTTATTGAGTGTCCTACGTATGTGCGTTGATATATGGATGTAAAGGAGGCGACAGAGGTGTATCAGGATAGAGCCAAACGGAAATCCGTAGTCTCTGCCTACACCTATGGTTGACAGGTGTACGTGTTTTTTTTTATAGAAGAGGGGACAAACGAGCATGCGGCTCACCTGATGTTAAGTGACTACCGCCGCCCATCATCAACCGCAACACCAGGGGAATTGCAGGTGCGTTGCCGGCCCTTTAGAAAGGAGTAAGCTCTTTTCTTGAAGGTCCCCAGGTCGTATCGGTCCCGAAAAATCGCCGGTGGTAAACTATTCCACAGAGAGGTTGTACGCGGAAGAAAACTCCTTTTGAAACGTACTGTGGTGGACCGCCAAGCATCCAGATGGTGTGGATGGTATCGGGACGTTTGCCGCGTAGTGCGTTCACGAAATTTGGCGGCTGGAATTAATCCGAACAATTCCTCAGAGCACTCTCCATGGTATATGCGAAATAAAATGCAAAGAGATGCAACATCTCTTCGCAGTGCCAGTGAATCGAGCCGATCGGAAAGCACTCGGTCGTCGACGATTCGAGCCGCTCTGCGCTGGATGCGGTCAAGTCGAAGGAGCTGGTACTGGGGAGTCCCAGCCCAGAGATGGGAACAGTATTCCATGTGCGTCCGAACCTGCGCCTTGTAAAGTTGCAGGCGGTGTGCCGGCATGAAATACTGTCCCGCTCTGCTGAGCACGCCAAGCTTTTTAGAGGCCAATTTGGCCTTCTCTTCCAAGTGACCACGAAACTGCACGTCACTCGATATGTCAACGCCGAGGATTCCGATACTGGCTGAGGCAACAAGGGGAGTGCCTTGAAACTGAGGAGATACGACAAAGGGGTTCTTTTTAGCGGTTAACGTGCAAACTTGTGTCTTGTGGGGGTTAAATTGGACTAGATTTAGTCGCCCCCAATCCGAGACTCTGTTCAGCAAAGACTCGACTTCAGACACAAGTTTGTTCCGGCACTCGGAGACGTTTTCCCGAGAAATATTGGCTCGGTCGGTGTAAAGAGCATCACCAGTGCTGTCATCTGCATCGCAATGAATGTTACGGGTTTGCAACATATCATTGATATGCAGAAGAAACAGTGTTGGCAATAGCACGCAGCCTTGTGGAACACCAGCATTAATAGGCTTGCAATCGGAGCTTGCACCGTCTACAACGACCTTGATGCTCCGACCTGCAAGAAAGCTGGTGATCCAATGGCACAATTTCTCGGGAAGCCCATAGGAAGGGAGCTTCGAAAGAAGCGCTTTGTGCCAAACCCGATCGAAGGCCTTCGCAATGTCCAAACTAACGGCCAATGCCTCCCCCTTGGACTCTACTGCTTTCGCCCATCTGTGAGTTAGGTAGACCAGAAGATCACCAGCTG